GGGCCCCCAGGGCTGACCTCGGCATGGAGGAGGGGCAGCCAGGGCCAGCTGCAGGGTGGGGGCAGCCCTCCCAGGCCTGAGCTCCCCGCAGGCTCCGGGCTGACTCACCACCGCGGCCTGGCACAGCTCCCAGGCCCTGCAGGCTTGTGGGCTGGGATGCGAGGGGTTGGAAGGGATGCTGGGCTTGGGGGTGGCGGTAGTGGAGGGCACGAGTTAGGGTGTCAGGCTGAGAGAGCAGCTTCCTCCTGCCCCCCACTCTGTCCTAGCCAGAGCTAGGGGACACAGCCCTGTCATCACCTTGTCTTGTAGTGGTGGCAGCCCCCAAACTGCAGGCTGTTTTCTCAGGACGGCCCTCCTCGCCTGCAGGCTGTTCCCCAATACTTGGGGCAGGGCTGGGGCCACAGGGGCAGGGGAGAGACTAGGGGGTGGGGATGCCCTCTACTGGCACCTCAAGTGTCTGGTACTTGGGCCTTTCACCAGGAGAGGGGAGAGGCCCTTTGTGAACCCAGAGAACTGATGTCACAGGGTCCCTCCAGCCCTGACCACCTCTGTCCTCTACCCTCCGGCTGATGGTGGAGAAAATGGAGGTGTGTCCAGGGTTCACCAGGAGCTTCGTCACCTGAGCCTGGTGCCCCACTTCCTTGAGCCTCCCTTTGTCATCTCCACTGTTGTTCTTCTTGTGTAACGTGGAGTAGGAACCCCCTCATGGCAGACTCCCCAGCAAGTTTTCAGAGGCTGTGAATTGCGGGAGAGGAGACCACCCATTCCATGGAGCAGCTGGTTGATCTGAACCATGGGCCTTTGGGTTGGCAGAGCAAGGCCTTACCATGAGTCCACCAGGGTTCCCTTGTCATGTAGAGATCTGTAAAATGGGCTCTCTCTGTGCCGACCTGAGGGACCACCGTGAAGCAGGGAGTTAATCTCTTCCATCCAAAGCCCCACCGCCTGTGTGTCTGACCACGGTTCCGGGGCAGTCTTCCACATTTGTCCTCTGAGGATTTTTAAAACCACTGATGATGCTGGAGACCAGAAACTTCAATCACGAGGCCTTTCCTGGGCGTGGGGGCCCCACCCCACCCCAGCCTAGCCCTAGCCTCCTCTGCCAGGGGGTCCCCAGTTCTGTCCAACCTTCGTGACCCCAGCTCGGGCTCCAGGCTGCTTTCTGGCCGCGGGCCACCAAAACCACTTAGTCCTTTTGCCACGCGATTGAGCGTCTAATTATTCAATCGGGCGATTATTGAGCGGCCTGGGGACGGCTTCCTGGGTGATGCATTCTGGTTTTTAGCTCCTAGAGGCATTTGGAACCTTCCCAAAACAAAAGGGGAAGGAAGGAAGGAAGTGCCACCCTGTGGACACTGAAAAGATGACAGCGCCCGGGAGACCCAGCCCAGCCGCCTCCGCTTCCGGCCAGTGAACTGTGAGCCTGGCCAGGGGAGATGACCCATCTTGGTTGGGGAAACTGAGACTCTGTCTTTCCTAGAGAAGGTTGAGGCCAGGTTTCTCCTTTGAGGCGAAGATTTTTTAATTTTGTTTTTGTGTGGGTGGGTTATTTTTTTACAGGCAAAGGTTTTGAAGTTCCTTTTCACATATTTCGGGCATGTGGCCAGAAGGGACCAGTCCTTGGAGAAGGACAACATGCATGGAAGGGTGGAGGGACAGCGCAGGAGAGGAAGACCCTGGATGAGATGGATTGACTCAGTGACTGGGGTAATGGGGGCAGGTGAGAGAGTGATACGAGAGGGCAGGGTCTGGAGCTATTGTGCATGTATGTTGGAGCGATTGGAGGGTCGCTGCATCGGGACAGCACATAAGGACCACGTAGCCAAGGCCACCCCTGGGCAGAAAGCTAGGATTCCGAGTCCGGTGCTATCAATGTCTCTGCTCGTTCTGTCCTCTGAGACTGGAGAGGAAGAGCCCCTCGCCATGCCCCTGCCCAGCCTCGCCCAGCCCTTCCTTTATCAGGGGAGCAAAGGAGCCCTCGTGGCAACATGGATTAAGCATTGGGCTGCTAGCAGCCGCCATGGGACAAAGATGAGGTAGCCCACCTGCTCTCCTAACGATTTACTGCATCATAAAGATTGACATTGCGAGGCCGATCTCCCCGGGAAATCGCTGGAGGGACATGGCCGTGATGTCATTGAAAGGAGGACTACATTTCCCACAATCCTTCAGCACTGGCTTCCTTCAGGCTCGGCCAATGGGAAGCGCCGATGGTGGAGGGGGCGTGGCTGGGGAAGTCTCCCGCCTCCTCTAGCCTGGGGTGGGGTGGGGTCTCCCATCCCCCTTCGGGGTGGGGGTCTCCCATCTCCCTTCCTGTCAGGGGTGTCTGCATTGTCCTTGTTTGTCTTTTTAAAAGTTGTTGTGGTGGTGGTGTTATGTGCTGTCGAGTCGTTTGCGACTCATAGCGACCTTATGTACAACAGCCCTAAACCGTGCTCTATCCTGTGCCAATCTCATGGCCTCTGACACACCCATCCCGATTACCCCAGTCACTGAATCAATCCACCTCACAGAGGGTCTTCCCCTCCTGTGCTGTCCCTCCACCCTCCCAAGCATGATGTCCCTCTCCAATGACCGGTCTCTCCTTACAACATGTCCAAAGTATGTCAGACGAAGCCCCAGAATCCTTGCCTCCAAGGAGTAGCTTGGTTTAACCTTCTCCAGGATGAATCTGTCTGTTTTCTTGGCAGTCCATGGTACATTCAATACTCTTCTCCAGCACCACCGCTCAAAGGCATCAATTCTCCTTCTGTCCTCCCTAGTCGTTGTCCAGCTCTCTGATGCATAACAAGTGATTGCAAAGACCATGGCCTGTATCAAGAGTACCTTAGTCTCCAGAGAGACACCATTGCTCTTCAGTACTTTGGAGAGGTCCCTAACAGCAGACTTTCCTATGGCAATACATCTTTTAATTTACTGGCCCTTGTACTCCATTCCCCATTTAAGTTTCACCATCACTGGCTTTCCCGTTAATCCATTCAGAAATGGTTTGGGATTGAGGGGTAAACTCATCGCGACTACAGGCGAATGGTGCAGGCTTCTAGCCGCCGACCCAGCTGTCGTCTGACCCTCGTGACAGGAGCAGCAGCCCAGGCCCGAGAAGCAGCGCCCTCAGAGAAATGGCCCCCAAAATCAGCGTAACCTTTGACCGCAACCTCAAACTTTAATCTTTTAGTAACTGCCTTGTCCTTCCTGCGGGCTGGCGTCTGTTGTCGAGTCACAGCCAGCTCCTAGCTGACTCTCTGACAGTGTCCGAGGTCGTACATCTCACAGGAAGAGACTTCCTCCTGCCATCAGCTGGTGGATTCGAACTGCTAGACGCACTGCCTTGGGGGTGGCAGTAGAGCTCCTTGGCCAGGAAATAGTTCTCGGATTTCCTGAATGGATGGGGAGTTGGTGATTGCGGGTAAGGCTGGCACAGCTGAGTGGGGACCCTGGGAAATGCACTCCCTCCCTCGACCACGAGTTGAGGGAGCAAGAGCGTGGAAGAAAATGCAGACAGGTTTAGCCAAACCGTTCATCTCCGAAATTTAATCACAGACATCTATAAAAACATTCTATACAGTGGTTTTAAAAAAAGCGAGGCCCATTCCCCTAAAGCAACCTGTAACACACAACACAGACACTTGTTCTCCGGAAAGGTGTGCATACATTCCTGCAAATACGGTGCCCGCCGGGATGCAGTGCCCCTTGAGGAGCAACCCAGCAAATGCAGCAACCAGGGTTTGCAAAAATAAATAATTTTTTTTTAACATAAGTGGTAACCATTTCAGCAAATGTACAAAGTGCAAACATGACAAGCAGCCCTGCTAGCTGTACACCAGATATTTACAAAGAAAAGAGCCTTTTTCGGGCCGCCCCAGGGGCAGGGCACTGCAGTCAGCCCTCTGGTAGTGAACGTTCCTCTGCCACCGTCCCTCTGGTCACAGGCACAGTGACAAGTGCAGAGGGCCTTCCTGTTTGACAGCAGTCCCGCGGAACGACCCTGACCTGAGCACGGCTGATGTGCCTCCCACTGTGGAAGCAAAGAGCCCAGTCATCATCCTTACATTTCACGACTATGGCTTTGAATTCCGGGTCACGAACCCCTCTTTCTGGTCCTCAGCTCCCTCTCACTCCCAGGGAGGCCTCCTGACTCAGTCACAGCGGCACAGACAATGGAAAACAGTGCAAAATAAGAACATCCGGTTTACAAACACGCGGTCCTGAATGGAGAAAGTGCTCGGAACAAAGGAAGGGGCATCTGGCGGGCTTGTCTTCGCGCCGGAGGTGGCCTAGTGATGCAGGCACTTAATCATTGTTAAGGGCAACCGGTGACTCAGGCTCCCCCTCCGGGAGCTGTCACTTTGGCCAATCAATTGGTCTCAGTTGGCAGACCTTGCCACACTGGATGCCACCATGTGGACACCAACACCTAGGTCCCTCTTCTTAGCCTGAAAGACATTCCTATATGCTGACCCGGGGTCAGCAGGCAAAAGGCCACTCGGTTTGTTGACCACAGCGTACCAGGGAGAGGTAACCACGTTTAGTCCTGAGTTAAGGGGATGTGGGAGCGGGTGGGATACAGCTGCTGGCCGGCAGCACCGTGGTGTCTGAAGCCCCCTGCCCTATCTCCCGTTTCATTCGTCTTCCACGGGTGTGGAGGGTCACAGTGGGGAGGTCAGGGTTTCCCCAAGATTCTTCCTTATACCCCAGCTCGATTGCAAAGAAAGAAAAGAAACCCCAATCAAAACCCTCCTTGTGTACAGCCAGGGGCCCGCGCTGCCTCCCAGAGAATAAATATATAAAACAAAGCTCTGGGGGGACAGGTGCAGGCCGGGGGGAGGGGGGCTTCCGGCCACGGCAGGGCGGTGCCTTCTTTCTCTGATGTCAGCAGGATGTCAAAGTTGCAGGAAGGTTTTGGACAAGGAGGGTGGGCAATTGGTCAAGGATCCAAAACTGTTCCTCTTGCCCACAAGAGCAGCAGGTTTTGTTGGGATAGGACACGGCCAGGCAGCTGTTCACGCCACGTCGTCCTCCAGACTGACCATCTGTCTCTGTCGGCAAGAGGAGAAAAGACGGAAACGTCACTCCAGTGGTCTGTAAACGTGTCCAGTCTCACCCTGTCCTCTGTGACTCCCTCGCCGTCTCCCACCTGGACTACCCTGTCACCTCTGCCCTGGCGCCTCCCAGAGGCCCGCCGGCTGGCACCTGTGAACACCTGAGTCAGGTCAGGTGCCTCTGCTCAGAAGGGTCCAGGGCAGAGCCAAAGCCCAAGTCCCCTGAATGGCTCACAAGGCCCTACAGAGCAAAAAGCATGATGTAAAAATATACCTACTCTTTGCTTTCTGATCATCTCAATATCCAACAACTCACATTAGGATAATTGTAAATATCTACCATCAACTATTTTGGGTATGAACACCACCATGTCTGGCTATAACAAACACTGACGGGTGAGGCCAGAGTAATGCTGGCTGTAACGGTGAGGTCTGTGTGTCAGCCCAGCTGGGCTAAGAGGCTCAGCCGTTTGGCAGGTGTGTAATGATGTCATTACCCTCCATGTCTACATAGTGCAGCTTTTCCCATAATCATCTTTGGAACATAACCACATCCGTAGTGAAGAGGGGTCCTCCCTCTGGTTCACTCTGCTCCCACCACACTGGCCGCCTCTGTGCTGCCCAACACATGAGGCAGCATCCAGACTCAGGGCCTCTGCAGGGGCTGGGCCCTCGGTGAGCCTCTCATGCCCCCTTAACCAGATCCCCTTCCTCAGGACGGAGTGCTCACCGCGGGGTAGGTGTAGCCGTCCTGGCTGCGGCAGATGTGGACCTCGTCCTCGGTGGTCTTCTGGTACACGGGGTTGTCGAAGTTGATGCTGTTGATGCTCTTCAGCCGCCAGTTCTTCCAGAAGAGGAAGGCTCCGAAGCAGAGGAAAACGAGCAGCACTGGGGGAGGGTGGAGGAGGATGAGAGAGGAGGCCCTGGGCGCCTGCTCGCTCGCTCGCTCACACACACACACACACACACACACACACACACACACACACACACAGAGACACAGGTCTGAGGAATGAAGGAGGAGGTGGTGAGTGCTACTAACGTGATGAGAATTACAACAACAAAGACAAGCCCTGCCATCAAGTCCCTGCTGACTCAGGTCGGCCCCCACCAGCTTTCCAAAGGTGTCAGTCTTTACAGGAGAAAACTACCCTCTTTTCTCCCAGAACTGCTGGTGGATTTGAACCCCTGAACTTCTCGTTAGCAGCAAAACATAGAGCCCTGCATACTCATCACAAGATAAGATGTGTATAAATTGTTGACCGGGAAACTAATTTACTCTGTACACTTTTACCCAAACCACAATGAAATGCTTACAGTAGAATCTCTGTCCCTTCCCTCTCACTTAGACACACCCACCTGGTTAACAGAAGTGTCTACACTGGGGCTTCCCCCGGCCCTGCACACACTTCCCCAAGAAACACCTGAGTCCAGGCTCTTCCCTGTGGTTGACGTCACAGGGCTGGGACCACGCTCCGCACCGGGACAACCTCACTCCTCTGTTTTAACACATTGCCTCTTTCACTTGGTCCCCTGCCAGCTCTGAGCAGACGGCATGTTTATTTCTTTCACGCTGTGTAGCAGTGCTGGGAAGTGGGCCCGGTATACAGCAGGCACTTAAATAAATTATGCTTGTGAAATGAATGAGGATAAGGGCAGTGCAGTGGTGACCAGGCCGTGCTGCAGGGCATCCGGTTCCTGGAGGAAACGCTGGCCGGGACCAGCCCTCGGAGTGGGGGACACTGGCCTGGACCAGCCCTGGGCTCGGGGGACGCTGGCCTGGACCAGCCCTGGGCGTGGGGGACGCTGGCCTGGACCAGCCCTGGGGGTGGGGACGCTGGCCTGGACCAGCCCTGGGCGCAGGGGACGCTGGCCTGGACCAGCCCTCGGAGCAGGGGAGCTGCTATGAGGAGCTCAGGGCGCTGGCTGGCAGGTTCTTACCGAGAGGAAGGACAATGGGCAGCGCCCCCACATGACCGGGCTTCTCCTCTGTTCCTCTTTCAGCAGCGTTGCCCAGGACTGCTTGGGAGAAGAGAGAAACCGAGGTTCAGATCCAGGAGGCAGGCAGAAGAGGCAGAGACCACCCCTCCATGGAAAAACTCACAGGGCCCGGGAGTCCCCAGGGCCTGAGCAATGCCATGCTTCACGCTTGGTTGCCTGTGGAGTCTCTCCTCCTGGCTTTGTGCTTCCTTGAAGGAAGTACATTCTAGATGAGCCAAGAGGCCGCCTGTGACCTGTCCACACTCACCAGTCCAAGGGGCCAGGTTCGAGCCACCAAAGCCAAAGAGTCCTGCCCCCAGCTAATGAGAGATGGTGAGGGAGGGGCAGAGCATAGCCAGTGTGTGCCTGGGAGCTGTGCAATACAGGGGAGCCCTGCTAGCACCCAGCTGCCAGCAGAAAGGTTGGTGGTTCGAGCTCACCACCTGCTCCACAGGGGAAAATTGTGTCAGCTGGCTTCCACAGCCTGACACCCGCAGAAATGCTACGAGACAGTTTTACCCTGTCCTATGCGGCTGCAGGGAGTCAGAAGTGACTTGGGAGCTGCAGTTTGGTGTTTGAGTTTGCAACCAAAGGAGCTGCCTGCACACACACAGGGTTCACATCTCGGCTGGGGCCCTGGAAGCTGGAGCCCCCTGGACGGCGACACGGTGGACACGGAGGGTCTGCTTCTACCACTGTTGTGACTCTTTGGCCTCCAGGAGGGTCAAGGGGAATGCGGGAGACTATGTACGAAAACTTTTCATAAAAAGTCATTCTGAGGTGAGCTCTGGTGGCCTAGTGGCAAGAAGCTGCACTGCAATCCCAGAGGTGTGTGGTTCAAATCCACTATATGTTCTGCTGAAGAAGGAGGGACAATTGCCTCCTGTACCAGTCAGATCCGATTTGACGGTATACACGCATAAATAATAATAATAATAATTTAAAAAATAAAACAACAACAACAAGAAATCATTCTGAGCAACAGTAGGGCCCTTAAGAATTTTCTCCTCTTAAAAAAATTTTTTTTAATTATTTGTGTGTGTGCGTGTACCGTCAGATCAGATGTGACTGGTACAGGAGGAGATTGTCCCTCCTTCCCCGGCAGAGCATCTGGTGGATTCGAACCGTGTGCCTCTGGGATTGCAGTGCAGCTTTCCTCTTAAAATTTCTTCTGGCAACTTGGAGAAGTCGGCACCAGTTGGCCTGTGAAGTGGCTTTTCAAGTCGTGTCCTTCCAAGTGAGGTTTCCTGGTCTCCTTCAACGACAGAAGTGCTAACTTCCACCCTCCCTCCTTGTCCCCCGTCTTCATTTGTGGCTGAACAAAGGCTCTAGCTCCTCTTGAAGCTTGCAGACAAGCCTCTTCTCTGCTGCACAGAAAAGCCCATGAGCTGGCCCCACACGCAGGGTCGGCCTCCCTCTGGTGGACAAAGGGTGAATTGCAGGTCTTCCACACATTTCCCTGGAGCTCTGGGGTGACGGATCCTTAGCAATCAAATGTTGTTAACTGCAATCCCAGAGGTGTGCGGTTCGAATCCAACAAGTGCTCTGCTGCAGAAGGAGAGGCAATCTCCTCCTGTACCAGTCAGATCTGATTTGATGGTACACGCACCAAAATTAGTAAAATAAAAAAATGTTTTAAAAATGTTGTTATTAAGGGAAGCTCTGATGGCCTAGTGGCAAGACGCTGCACTGCAATCCCAGAAGTACGCGTTTCAAATCCACCAGATGCTCTGCTGGAGAAGGAGGGGGCAATCTCCTCCAGTACCAGTCAGATCTGATTTGATGGTACATGTAAAAATAATACAATAATTTTTAAAAAAAGTTGTTATTAGATGCCATCAAATTGAGTATGACTGATAGCGACCCTATGAAAAACGGATCTGAACCCTGTTCTATCCTGCACCATCCTCACACTTTCTGACACACGAGAGCCTATTGCAGCAGTCACCGTGTCAGCCCACCTGGTTGAGGGTCTTCCTCTCCTTCATTGACCCTCCACCCTTCCCAGCATCATGTTCTTCTCCAGGGAATAGCCCCTCCCAGCAACATGCCCTGAGCATGTGAAGTGAAGCCTTATCACTCTTGCCTCCAAAGAGCCCTCAGGCTGCACGAATGCAAAACCCTACCACACAGAATCAAACATCAAAATTTTAAATCGAAACAGTCTAACTTTTACTACTGCTACTATAGTACCTCATTTCAAAATTTTAAATCGAAACAGTCTAACTTTTACTACTACTACTATAGTACCTCATTTCCTATAAAATTGTATTTTAAAGGTAGCTGGACAAACAATGAACACTGGGGACTGAAACGGAGGCTCCAATAGGACTGGCCCGAGTCTGGCATCCTATAATAGCCCGTTCGCGCTAACAGCTGTGGTGGAGGCAGAATCAGCTCAGAGCCAACCTTTCTGCGTGATCTCAGAGGCCGTAAACCACCCGGGAGGAAATCGCACCTCTTTCTTTCATGGAGCAGCTGGTGGATTCGAATCGCCTGCCTTTGGGCTGCCAGTACAACTCCCTACCCACTAAGCCACCAGGGCTCCCTAGTCAGAACACGCCCCACAGAAATAACTGTGCCCTTGGGGTCCCTGGCACAAAAGAGTCTGTTCTGTCCTTGCAGGGTGAGGGGAGACAGGGGGCTGAACTGTGGGCAGTAATTTGATTTTCTTGTAAAGCATTGCATCAAAACAGTATTTGATGTGAAAAGAGAAGAAAAAGAAAAAAATGACAGCTGCCCTTTAAACGCTATGCCCAGAGGCGTGTGTCTCGTGTGCTGTTCTACTCCTGGAGCAGCTGAGCAGAAGCAGGGCCGGGGACAGGGACAGGGCAGTAAAGAATCTTTACCTTGGTGGGTCATCAGAGTCGTCTCTGCTGTAGTGACTTCAGGGTGGTCCGAAGACTTGGGCTCGGGGACTGTGTTCCTGACCGTGGACGAGTGAACCGTGGGTGAGTGAACCGTGGACGAGTGAGCCGTGGAAGGGTGAACCGTGGGCGAGTGAACCGTGGACGGGCCCTCAGTGGTCGTTGCAGGTTCAGGCTCTGCAGGAAGAAATCATTGCTGGGTGTGGTGCACACAGTGCTGCTCTGACCACCCTGTGCTCCTGACCGCAGGAGGAGGCGAGGGCAGAGGAAAGCAGCACAGGGAGCCCGCGGTGAGTATGCTAACATCACTGTTAGGGACCCACAGGGGCTCAGGTGTGACGGCGCCAAGGACGAGAGGACTCACTGTCTGGAATCCAGTGTGATCTCGGGGTTCAGAAGAGGGGAAGTGAGTCTCACCCCCAGCACATGCAGACATGCCCAGCCGCTGGGAAGGGTGAACTAGGTGCTAGAGAGGGAACTGTGTCTCCCAAAGAAATGAGTAAATCTTAACTCCTAGTGTGGAGCCAGGGAGCTGGCTTAGAGGTAAGGAATTGCACTGCCAGCACAAAGGTACACAGTTCAAATCTACCACCTGCTCCACAGGAGGAAAGACGGGCAGTCTCCTCTCGTGTCATTTGCTGCCTATGAAAACCGGCTGGAGGGTCAGCTATGGGTTGGTTCTGACTCGATAGTACAAAACAACAACAACGTGAAGTTCTAAGGAGCCTGGAGGTGTAGTCGGTTACTTGCTGAGCTGCTAAACGAAAGGTTAGTGCCCAGAACCCACCAATTGTTCTGAGGAAGAAAGATGGGCATTCTCCCCCATAAAGGACACCTTTGGGGATCCGAGGAGGGTCACCGGATATCAGAAAGGACTCAGCAGCACTGGGTTTGGGGTAGAATGAAGCCGTGGGTAAAGCCAAAAGGCTGGCAGTTCAAATCCACCAGCTGCCCCATGGGAGAGAGAGGAGGTTCTCTGCTTCCACAAAGATTTACTGCGAGAAGCATGACGGGCAGCTCTGCCCTGTCCTGCGGGGTCACCAAGGGGCACAACGCATTCGGGTGGCAGTGGGGACAGCGGTTGCAGCTTTAATCTCATTTGTTATGCTAATGAGTCAGTATTAGTGAAAGGTGTTTCTTTATCTTTGTGGTGTTATTAAAGCAGAGAGGAAGACAGAGGTGGGGCCATGGGAGGATGGCTGACAAGGGACAAGGGACAAGGCCTCTCCCCAGTGCCCACCAAGCCAACTTCCCCGAGGGAAACCCTGCTGTCCAGCCTCTAAGCTGGGAGAAGAATGTCAGTCTGTCAACGCTGCCCACTTGTGGTGTCTGACGTGACAAAGGTTACTGTGCCTGCTCCCACTTGGGGGAGGAAGGGGGTCCGCAGAGGCAGTCCCGCAGTCACCCCTCGGCTGCCGACTGGCCCTCACCTGTGAGGCAGTTCCGCATGTCCCTGGCCAGCTGCTTGCCGTCGGGACAGGCACAGGTGAACCTGGGAGAGTGGGTGCTGATCTGCGGGGCCGGGAGGCACAGGTACTCGCAGCCACCATTGCTGAGCGTGGTCTTCTCACACCAGTTCACCCCTGAGGCGGGAGTGGGGCGACAGGGAGACTTGTCAGATGGGTCACGTGGGTGCAGGAACCCCTCCCGAGAGCCCCAAGAGCGGTGGCGGGAGGCAGGGGTGCAGACACTCTGGACAAACCTCTCGGCTGCGTGAGGTTGTGGAACAGAACTATATCCTCTGGGGACAGCAGGTTCTCGGCCACCAAGCTGACGTCTGAGCCTGTGAGGCGGTTGGCACTGAAAATGGCTTCGTTGATGATATCTGTCCAAAACACTTTATCCTACATGGGGATAAAAGTGACCGTCAGACCTTGTGAGCATTGGGACAGAGCCCAGATCTCTGTCCCCTTAGCCCTCTGTCCCAGAGGGGTCTTCGCAGTATCCCTGGTCCTTCTTTTCCTCCTACAACAACCAAAAAGTCTTTAGAAATGGCCAGGTGTCCCCTGGGGGTGGGGCAGGCCAGCACTGGGTGGAAACCAAGGCCTAGGCTTTTAATACTCTTGGGAAGAGGAAGTGGAAATGACCCCAGGACCGAGGCCTTGTTACAGTCAGGGGACACCAGCTGGCCAGTCCTGAATGTCTGACGGGGTAACACGCTATTCAGTGCCCGAGCACATCCGCACGGTCCAGCCATGCTCGGTAAACAGAGCTCCCCAAGCATGCAGACACTGAAGAAGGGATACCCTCCGCCCTCACCTCATAGATGGCCAGGGAGAAGGGGTGAGCCAGCCTCTTCTCGTCCTCCAGCACTGTCTTCCTGTTCTGCCCGTTGACGTCGATGCTGGAGATGGAGTGAAGCTTGGAGTCGACCCAGTAGAGGCGGCGGCTGGAAAGATCTGGAACGCACAAGGAGGGAAGGAGAGGTCACACGCTGATGCCAGTGGGGCCTTGGGGTCTGGCCACCCTGAGCCCCTTAGCACGAAGTCCCCAGGTCTCGGTGTTCTGACAGAGTTGCTCATGTCAGCCTACACGGCGGGTCTTGGACCAGTCGCCCCCACCTTTACACCCCTCCACTTTGCACCCTGCTACCTCTCAGCTCCACTCCACTCTCCCAGCTGGGCAGCGGTTTATTTGTGGGTAATAATAACTTCAGGGGACCTTCTAGACTTTGCACTGACAGACAGGCTCATAAAATAAACAATATCATCCAAGAGTTCTGTGCTTTTTTTTTTTTGCTTTTTTTCCTCTTTTTCTGTCTGTGCTCTTTTAAAACCACCAAATCGTCCTCATTTATCCTAAAGCAAAGAGGTGGTTATGAATGGCTACCGACAAAAGGGCGCTGAGACAAGTCTGTGGGAGATGCAGCCAATGTCACTGAATGGTATGGTGAGAGATCGTCTTATGGGAATCTGATTTTTTGGGTAAACTCATCAGAAGCACAAGAAAGGGTGAGAACTAAGGAACAGCCCGCAGGGACTCTGGGAACAGAGGAGCTCAAGTGACTGTCCCTGGGGAGCACAGATGATTGCACCCAGGGAGCACAGTGACTGTCATCGGGGAGCACAGTGACTGTTGACTGTCCCCAGGGAGCACAAGTGACTGTCCCCGGGGAGTACAGATGACTGTCCCAGGGGAGCACAGATGACTGTCCCTGGGGAGCACAGATGATTGCACCCAGGGAGCATAAGTGACTGTCCCTGGGGAACACAGATGATTGCACCCAGGGAGCACAAGTGACTGTCCCTGGGGAGCACAGATGACTGTCCCCGGGGAGCACAGATGATTGTATCCAGGGAGCACAGATGATTGCACCCAGGAAGCACAAGTGACTGTCCCTGGGGAGCACAGATGACTGCACCCAGGGAGCACAAGTGACTGTCCCCGGGGAGCACAGATGATTGCACCCAGGGAGCACAAGTGACTGTCCCCGGGGAGCACAGATGATTGCACCCAGGGAGCACAAGTGACTGTCCCCAGGGAGCACAGATGATTGCACCCAGGGAGCACAAGTGACTGTCCCCGGGGAGCACAGATGATTGCACCCAGGGAGCACAAGTGACTGTCCCTGGGGGGCACAGATGACTGTCCCTGGAGAGCACAGATGATTGTCCTCAGGGAGCACAGATGATTGCACCCAGGGAGCACAAGTGACTGTCCCCGGGGAGCACAGATGATTGTCCCTGGGGAGCACAAGTGACTGTCCCTGGGGAGCACAGATGATTGTACCCAGGAAGTACAAGTGACTGTCCCCGGGGAGCACAGTAACTGTCACTGAGGAGCACAGATGATTGTACCCAGGGAGCACAGATGATTATACCCAGGGAGCACAAGTGACTGTCACTGGGGAGCACAGATGATTGCACCCAGGGAGCACAAGTGACTGTCCCCAGGGAGCACAGTAACTGTCACCGAGGAGCACAGATGATTGCACCCAGGGAGTACAAGTGGCTGTCCCCGGGAAGCACAAGTGACTGTCTTCAGGGAGCACAGTAACTGTCACCGGGGAGCACAGATGATTGTATCCAGGAAGCACAGATGATTGTCCTCAGGGAGCACAGATGACTGTTGACTGTCCCCAGGGAGCACAAGTGACTGTCCCCGGGAGCACTGATGACTGTCCTCAGGGAGCACAGATGACTGTTGACTGTCCCCAGGGAGCACAGAGGATTGTCCTCAGGGAGCACAGATGACTGTTGACTGTCCCCAGGGAGCACAGATGATTGTCCTCAGGGAGCACAGATGACTGTTGACTGTCCCCAGGGAGCACAAGTGACTGTCCCCAGGAGCACAGATGATTGTCCCCAGGGAGCGTAAATGATGCCCTGAAATGGGCAGGCGAGCACTGTTAAAGGCTAACGTTCGCCTGTATATATTTTTACTACAGAGAAAGAGGAAGCTCCGGTGGCCTGTCTGTAAGGGGTTGCGCTGCTAACCCCAGGCCCAGCCCCTCTGGTGGTTCAAATTCACCATCAACCCTGAGAGACAAAGCCGGGCAGTCTCCTCCTGTGTGATTTACAACCTTGGAATCCCAAAGGAGGGCCAACCGTGAGTCACTTCTGACTTGAGGACAATGAGTTATGAGGGTCTTTTAAAACGATGAAAGGAAAACCAACTTAAGGGACACCTCAACCAAATAAAAAACCCAACAGGAAGCCCCCCCAGGGAACCACCCACCCACTGTCTCTCTCCTCCCTTCACCCTTAGCCCAGGGCGGCCTCGGGGAGATGGTCATGCCCCCATCGTACCCAGGGTGATGCCATTGGGCCACTGGATATCCTCAGTCACCAGCGAGTAGATGTCCACACCATTCAGGCCCCCTTTCTTGATCTTTGCAGGGGTTCCCCAGTCCGTCCAGTACATGAAGCTGGCAAAACAGAGAAATGAGGCATAAAGTACCCATGAGGAAGCTAGGGGTACAGTCATAGCTCCAGGCTGGTCCCCAAGTGGTGGCAAGGAACCTGCTCTTGGGTATGTTGCAAGGAGGGACCAGTCCTTGGAGAGGGACATCATGCTTGGGAGGGTGGAGGGACAGTACAGGAGAGGAAGATCCTCGATGAGATGGATCGATTCAGTGACTGGAGTAATGGGAGCAGGTGTGTCAGAGACAGTGAGGTTGGCACAGGATTTAGGGTTCAGGGCTCTTGTACATCAGATTGCACATAACAACAACAATAACCTGGCCTCGCCCACCCTGAGACCTGCCGGAGTTTGGAGGTAGAAAGAGTGACGGCACTGTGGAAGGCAGTGTGGCATTTTCTCAAAAAGTTGCAAATAGAGATACCATTTGACCCAGCAATTCCACTACTGGGAATATACCCCAAAGAGACCATAACTGCCACCCAAGCAGATATATGCATACCCATCTTTATCGCGGCTTTGTTCACAATAGCAAAGAGCTGGAAACAACCTAAGTGCCCATCAACAAACGAATAGATAGAGAAACTGTGGTATATTCACACAATGGAATACTATGCTGTATTGAAAAACAAGGAACTCATGTAATATTATTCAAAATGAGTGACCCTGGAGGACATTGTGCTAAGTATCTCAGTCACAAAAGGACAAATACTGCATGGTGCCACTGTTGTACAACAGGACTGACCTCGGGGTAGAGGGGAGACTGAGAAAGGTGGGTTCAATAATGGATGCTGCATTGAAACAGATGAGGGAGAAAACTGTTTAAAAGGGTTATATGATTAGGTATTTTTGTCATGACAGGAGTCCAGAGCGAAGGCTGCATAGTGGAGTGGACCTGGGGGGAGGGATTGTAAAACAATGAAAGAATTTTTCTTTTACTTTTCCAAGAGGGTAGTGTACTGAGGGGTGAGGGGGGGAGGGTTGGGAGGGGAGAAAAGTGCAATAATGAATGAATGGAAATCCAAAGTCTCTGTGAATTTTCATTGGAATAAATAATAAATTTGGGGGGAAAAAGGAAGGAAAGAGTGATGGGCAATTTTTCACCAGAAGGCTGGGACCCACCCTCCAACCTGAGATTAAGTGGACGTTCTGTGAGTCTCCCTCTTGGACACACGTGGAGCTGGCCAGGGCCTTCTCTGGAACCCTCCCGCTACCAGCCCCTCTGTACTGTGTCTACTCTCCCCCAGGCCAGGTGCTCCGCCCGGGGTCCGACTCCCGGTCCAAGCATCCCCCAACATCTCGCAGCTGTCCCCACTGGCAAGCCCAGCTTCCAGCCAGCTTGGCCAAGGCCCCTGTGAAACAGTAGAATTCCACAGCTGGGGTGCTGAGCAGGACGGGGTGGCCCGATAGGTGTGGAGTACATGGGGAGCGGGGGTGGGGACACTGAGCCCTAGGTCAGCCACAGGGTCACGGGGCTGGCACTCCACCCACCGTCGTGGCCCAGGGCCTGCGTGCAGAGGCTCACAAAGCCGAGAGGGCGAGTGAGCAGTGGGGGCTTGAGAATTTCTGCCATCCTCGTCCTATCCCGGCCACTAGTACCCAGAGGCAGGATGTTCAAGACTCTGTTTTCATCACAGGTCAACAGACTTCAGAGGGGCTCTGACACCCCCACACCTCGTGCCCACCAAAGTAAGGTGGGGAGGGCTTGTGACTTGAGTGCCCAGCGTTCTCTGCCAGAGTTCTGTGGTGGTAACAGCTAACTCAAAGGATGGGGCCCAAATGTGCCCAGAAACATTGTGGAAGAAAGGCCTGGCAGACAACTTCCAGAAAATCTGCCTGCAGACCTCCTGGGGCACGGTCCTGCTCTGACCTGGGGCTACCACGAGCAGGAGGTGGTTTGGTGTCAGCTGGTTTCCAGTGTCAGCTTGGGACAGGCCACATGGCCTCAGCCAGCTCCTGGGTCCCACACGCCCATCCTCCCCAGGACTCAGTCCTCCCCCAGGATTCCATCCTCCCCAGGACTCCTCCGTCCTCTCCTGGGACCTGGGACCCCATCCTCGCCCAGGACTTCGTCCTCCCCCAGGACGCAGTCCTTCCCCAGGACTATCCTCTCCAGGACTCCTCCATCCTCCCTTGGACCCGGGACCCCATCCTCCCCCGGGACATCGTCCTCCTCCAGGACC